GCGGGGAGCCTGCTTCTCCCTCTCCCACTCCCCTTGCTTGTGTTCCCTCTCTCGCTGTGTCTCTGTCAAATAAATAAATAAAATCTTTAAAAAAATAAATAAATGAATAAATAAAGAAAATCTTAAAAAAAAGAAAGGAAAAACACACATTTGCCTTTACAATTGTAATTGCTCACAATTAAAAATTACTGCACTGCCTCAAAAACTTTGCAGAATGAGCAGAGTACAAATAAGTAACACATTGTTAGCATATGAAAATGTTACTAAAATTACAATGGATTTCTAAGATTTTTTTTCACCAAAATACATGCATCTCAGATAAGTATAACTTAACAAGAGAGTGCTCTTTTTCTCCATGCTTTTCCTTTTTTCCTAAATGAATGACCTCATACTAGCTTCCTAGTGCCTTTCCTTTTTCTTCCTCGTTGCCAATTCCCCTGCTTGTTTTTTCTTTTCTACCTGCTGTAGATGTAGCATTCTGGTTACACTGACACTGCAAAATCCAAAAAATGGTGGTTTAAATTAGTCACATGACCCAGAAATTAGCTAGCTGCCTGATATTTTTATACCACTGTACTATACACTAAACAATTGTGTTCTGTTGATCTCTTAACTGGCAAATCCCATCCGTGTCCTGTTTTGTGGGCCATTCAGGAGCTCTCTGTGCCAGGCCTCAAACTTGAAATTCAAAGTCCATCTTAACTCATCCTTACTTGATCTGCCCCTTGTATCTCCCACCTAAGAACTTGGAAGATGATGGGCAAGCATACTACTTTCCTAGTAACACATGATTGAAAGACATGCCACATGTTTTATTTTGAGTAAACTTTGAATAAATGGTATTGTAAAAATACACAAATCCTAAGTATAGGGGTGGATGAATTTTCACAAAGTTAATCCACTCGTGTAACCAACACCCAGTCCAGAAACAGAACGTTACCTCTCTTGCAAAGCCTCTGGGTGCTCCTTGCTGCCATTCCCCTTTCATCCTGGTAAGAGGAGCCACTACTCCGACTTTTAACACTGTGGATTAGTTTTGTGTAATTTTGAGCTTTTATATAATGGAATTTTATATAATGCAGTCATTCAATACATACTCATTTGTGTCTGGCTTCTTCTGCATAACATTTCATTTGTGAGATGCATCTGTGTTGTTTTAGCTCATTCATTTTAGTTGCTGTATAGTATTCCATGGAGCAAATATACCTCAGTTTCACTGTTGATGACATTGGGTTGTTTTCAGCATGAGGCTTTTATGAATAATGCTACTGTTGTAACAGTCTTGTGACCCTACCTTTTCTATAAAGCGGACTATAAACAAAATTTTTTTTCATGTGCATGTTTTTCTTTCTCCCTATAGAACACTATTAGAGAATGGCAAACAGTTTTCTGTATCGCTGCTGCTATAAATGTGTTCGGTGCCATTTTCTTCTCGCTATTCGCCAAAGGTGAAGTGCAAAACTGGGCTCTCGATGATCGACATGGACACAGAAACTGAAGGAACCAATAAATAATCCTGTCTCTATTAACGTATTTTTGTTTATCACGTAACCTAAAAGTGCCTTTGATATTTTAAATGTGTATGCATTCTACATATAAGAAAAAAATTGGATGAAATTTTTAAGGCTTGTAATCATGAAATGTCACAAGTTGCCAGATTAGTAAAATTAGCTATTTTTAATCATTAATAACATGTATCCTGAAACGTAGACTTGAGGGTCACATATCCGGCTGTAAATCAGGCAATATAAAGTAGGGGAGTTCTATTTATTTTTAAGGGGCATCCTTGAAGGAATGAGCGGAAGTGGACCCTTCTATCCCTTTGCTTAATTACACTAGATAATAATTCTCAGGTCTTGGTCAACACCTGTTTTTGACCACTTTGCTCATACAAATTATGTCAGCCACAATCCCTGACACTTAGGTCTCAAATCTCCATGGAGCTGCCAGCCAGGGTATAATTTGGCCTGGCAACCACATGGAGGGAAGCATGCCCAGGAGGCTGCCAAGCATTCCCTCACTGGCTTCAGGGATGGTGCCCACCATTTATCAGAGGCAGCATCCAAGACCAGGGTCAGCGCCAAGTCTTCAGATGGCGTTCTTCCCCTGGGCGCTGTTAATGTGTCGAGAAAGCTGCAAGTAGGCCCGGGCAGCAAGATCCACCACCGCAGTCTCGATACAAATCCTCACACTTTTCCCTTCCTGGCACACTGGAATATTGATTGGCATGTAACCTGCAAGAGAACGGTGTGATGCCCAATTAACTACAAATAAAATCATCCTTGATTAAAACTACTTTCACGTGGATTAGAATATAAATTTCCAAGTCCCTGTGTTCTCTGGGCTTCACCAGAATAAGTAAAACAATTTTAAAACTCTCACATTTTTTTTCCTTTTGTCTACATGTAAGCTTCTGGTTGCAGTTGAAAGTTGAAGTGACTTTTATTTGGCCCCATCATCTACAACCAGTGGTGGAATAATCCTTACTTGTGGTTCCTAAAATCATGTTTTCCAGTTTTTCCCCAAACCAGCTTCCAGTGGCTTTTGAGCATGCTTGGAGGGCATTTATGTGATTTAGAACTTGATTTATGTTTTGTTATGTTTGTTCAACACTACCTGTAACATTTTGAGTAAAACTGATTCATGTAATATGGTGTGGATACATTTCTGTACATTTCTTTTTTAATCTGTAAATAGCTTTAAGTTGCTATGGTGGTGTTTCTTTTATAAATCATCAAAATAAACATTTTTGGGTTGGTTTTGGATCTGACAGTCCTATGGTATTCTCTAGTGTCTCGAGTGGCTATTTGACATCTCTGCTGTCCTCCTCAAGCCACCAGCCTACCTCCACGGGCCCCTCCCTGAGCCACCACCAAGCCAAGGAGACTTAGGCCATCTAAGGGAGACAGCATGAGGAAACTTTTGCCATCAAACTGCCCTTCCTAGCTCTGCAGAGGGCCCGCTCTTCTCCTGGAAGCATATGCCTACACCACAAATTGTACCCTCTCCTGCCTCCTCTAAGATCTTGATTTAGTCATTCCCCTGTAATTTGGTTCTTCAATCTCCACCTCTCTTCTCTTTCTTTTCCTTCTGTCTCAAGGACACTCAAGTCTTCTCTAGCCTTTAAAAACAAAAATACGAAATTCTGGGGCGCCTGGGTTGCTCAGTCGGTTAAAAGTGTCTGCCTTCGGCTCAGGTCATGATCCCAGAGTCCTGGGATCGAGCC